CTCCAAACAGCGAGGACTGAACATCGGCATACCAGAAGTGCCCACACGCGTCCCCCAAAGCTTAGCAGAAGAAGCAACAGCAGCAGCAGCAGCAGCAGCGAGGCAGTACAAAGGGAGCAGTGGGGTGTCTGCTGCGCCACCCTTCCGTTACCCTTACAGTGTCACCATGGGGCAGGCCAACGAAACTATTCTGTTCGACTTCCGCAACTGCCAACTCACCTTTTGTTATGAGCCCTCTTTCTTGCGCATTTGTATCCATGGCGTTTGGTGCATCCGTGTTCCTTAGTTCCGTCAGTTCCTCACACATGTTCTTAATACGCATCATGCTCATGTGACTGCCGGACATCCAGGCCAAAAGAAGATCTTCTGTAGTATGCAGACACTACAACAGGGTTTGCCTGTGACCTGAAGAGAGTAGCTGTAGTGCACAGGCACTACAATAGGGCTTGTTCATGACCTATAGAAGATAGCTAGCTAGCGACCTACAAGGGGTCACAACACTGGAGGAGGACAAGACCCTCTTACTAGGGTCAAAGTAAGGCAATTTGTCTGCGAATTAACATGCATACACTAGAGGTGCCTGAAAATGCGTCGAGACTGGGGCTGGTGATAGCGCCGGCACCACCGTGACCATGTAGTTCTTCCTAGTTCAAGCGCACCCATTTTCATACATCATTAGGTTTCGTCCCTCATGAATAGAATCAGACGCAATTCCCACAAAATGCTGCCAGTCACATTTGCACTGCCTATTCATTCTCACCGCCTGAGCCATCAATCAAAGCCGAAACGGGAGAAGAACGAACCTTGCACCCGGCCCCGTCCACTGCGCTATTTACGCGATGGGTAGATAACCCACACATATAACGATCCATTACGGCGCTCCACTCCCATGCAGCGGGCTTCCACAGGCCCCAATACACTGTGACCGCAACAGCTTTACAACACCCATCGTCTGCTGGTTACAAACTCATTACTACACAAACCGCCTAGAGACAAGGTTTGATAACCATGGGGCGTGGCATCCTCAAACCTTTATGCAGCGCAGCGCTGCGTCACCACGCAATTCGCTCTGGCCACTACTGCAACTGCGACCCCAGATCATCTACTTCCACGCATACACACTAGACCCCACTGCGCAAAACCCACGCAATGTCGCAAGCGCCCAACACACTGCACGTCAGCCCGGCTACAACACAACTTGCAAGCTACTATTTCAGCCTAAAGAATACATCTGCAAGACCCACCTCGACTTCGAGTGAAGTGAGATGCTTCAACCGCACACGAGTCTCACGTTGCGACTGTGCGTCGCCAAGATCTACTGATCGTCCTGGCCAGCACGTCCCTTTTTCCACTTACAAATATATTTTACCTGCGCGTCAAGCGCAAATAAAATGTACGTGCCTTCTCCGAAGCTTCCTCAATGGCTACTAGACTCGCCCCACGCACACCCTTCCTGGCGACCCCTGTGATCCACCACTCACAAACACGTGCTTCACGCCTTCTCCCAATGCTTTCCAGTGCTGATAGCTAACCAATCTCACCTCAATCAAAATTCCCGGGAAAACAGCTGCCAGGAGAACAGTCCATTGGCAGTGGCTACTAAGCTCCTCCGATCCAGTGCTGCCAGTACTCACGCAGTTTCGTACACGCGTCAACAACTCACTGCCGGCACACACAGCTCGTCACACACCCCAGTTGTCGTCTCCGCTCTTGCCCAAGCTTCTACAGTCACCCTTGTTTGCAAACTCATACAACTGTTTCGACACACCTACGAAGCAGCGTCGTCAACCCGGTAGCACGCCACCTGCAGTGCAATTTCCTTCAACCCAGCACACTGCACCGCTGCAAACGTGATTGGTCAGGTGCCCTTCGATCCAACACCACCACACATCGTCCCATATTCATCCTGATGCAGGCCTGAAACGGCTCACTTCTACTTAAAACCGCACATTGCTAGAGGCAGAAAACACTGTTGGACGCACCAACACGCAAACAGACGACGCACCGAGTCCACATCAAACTTTTGCATCTGCAAAATCTTCCAACGATTCGAAGTCCTCTAGTATAAAACGAACTGAGTTGTAGCGGCATGCGTGGGCCTGGAAAGCAAGCAAGGTCACGCAGGTCCTGTTTCCTGATTCGCCTCTACAGTGTCCCATGGTACCTAAAATGCCGCAGGACGCGCTGCAGTCAGCCAGTTAAAAATGTCAAGCTTCCAAATAAGAGTGTAGTTTGTGCAACCCCCCACCCGCAGTCTGCAGAAGAGCAAAACAAAATACTCTGCATGCGCGACTGCTGCAAGTCCCAAGACAGAAGCTCCGAATCCAACATATCTTGCTACTAAAACAAAAAATGCCAGTGGTCGACGCAACATCGGTCAGCGGCTTGTCCAGTCGGCCTAAAACCACCGCACTGTCTGGGTCATAATCATGTGGCGAAGACAACAATGGTCCGGTTCCCCTCAAAATCCGGGCCATCTCGCCTGGTGCACGCTCGCTGCTAACGTTTTCCAACACCTACTGGGACAGTTTCTTTTAGCATCTCAACACAACATTTCGAAAGAATGGTCACTAGCGTTACAGTCCACTGGGAGCAGCTACTAGGTTCTTTCGGCCCAATTCTGCGAGTACTCACGCAGTGTCGTACACGCGTTAACAACTCACTTTCGGCGCACACGGCTCGCATTTCACACCCCGCATCACTTTCGCTCTCTCCGGAGCGCCTACAGACACCCTTGTTTGCAAGCGTACTAAATTGTTTCGACACACCTAAAGTGCAACTTCCTCAGTCCTTCCTGTCAAGTCAGCATGCCACCTGTGACGCCGTTTCCCTCAACACAACACACCGCACCACTGCAACTGTGACTAGTCCTGTATCTTTCAAACAAACACCAGCGCGCACTTCCAGAAACTTATCGTCATGCGAAAACAGCACGGCTCATCTCTTCTTAAAAACGGACTTTGCCACACGAAGCAACGCTGGAGGCACCACCACCCAAGCAAACGGCTCCACATCGAACCCGTCTTCCTGTGTAATCGTTAAGTAACTATGGATGGTTCTATATGAAAAGAAATACATAGTTCTACCAGCATGCGTGCGTCTGGGAACCAAACCAGGATGACGTAGCTGTAAGTCTGATTTTAGAGTGCAGCGTGGCACTTGAACGTTCACTGAATACGCTGGATCCATGACGTTACATTCAAAACCTCGGAAAATATGTAATAAGTGCCGTCGCCCGCAGGATGCAGTGAGAGAAAATCATAATGCTCTGCACTTGCAGCTATGGCAAGTATCACAGCGAAGATTCGCGCTCTGCCAGGATGAGCTGCTCTCCCGCCATAGACATCCTTGCTTTTCGGTGCACTGCTGTTTTATTCTTCAAGGCAGCAGTAGACCTACTCTTAGAAAGTCCTCAAAGCACAGAAACGAGAAACTCAGAACAACGGTCTACTTTCAAGCGCAGGATATTACGTAACCAGAACAATTAATACAGAACCTGGATCCCATCTCCTACCCACCCAGCTAGCCAGCTAGCTAGACCGCTAGCTACGTTCTCTAGCCAGCAAGCCACGTATCTAGTCAGCTAGCTAGCCGGCTGGCTGGCATCTCTAGCAAGCTAGCGAAGTAGCTAGTCAGCTAGCTAGCTAGCTAGCCACATACCTGGCTAGCTAGCTGGTTAGCTAGTTAGCTAGCTAGGCAGGCCCTCACACTGTAATTATTCGATGGATTCAAGCACCAGAGGATATATCGAATAATGCACGACGCCGGTGCCCACTACTCTCCGACGGTTCACTTTTATTGGATCTTACTTCCTGGAAACGCAACGGTCACAAAAGATTATTTGCAACGCGCGGTCGTGTCACTTGCCGGCTAGCTCCTGTGTTACGCTTGTGAAGACACCAAATTCGTCACGCGACATGTGTCATGAACCGTTCAGTAAGGTATTGATGTTTGCAAAGGGACTTCGCCCAATGCGGGCTTAATGTCCACTAAGAATTGACGACATGCAAGGGTGCAAGCATTTCATTTGCGCAACTAGCGCCGTTCCTCGACACAGAAATTCCTCTCAGTACATGCAGTGGCTGATATGGTCACCAGGAGTCAGAGAGGAGTCCGGAAGAGTTTCTTTCTACGTTGTAAGACGTTTAGCCGATAGTCGATCATTCTTTCATTATGTGTTGTATTGCATTTTTCGCGCAAGTGAAACGGGGTTAGCAAGACAGCCCAAAACAGGAAGTACGTGAGCCTAGAAAACCTGTGTGAAGGAAACGAGCACGCAGCGCCTGCTGAACTGCACACTGCGCTGGCAAGAGTACTGCAACGAAAAACACCCGCCTTGGTGGCAGCCGCTCGTCCTACGCGACACGTGGATGGACGTTTATTTGCAACTGTACGTAAATCATAAAAAGCAGAGTCTCATTAGCTCAAAAATGCATTACACCATCAATACTAGATAATGTGAATACCGTGCCTACATTTACTTGTTTTCAAGATTCCGCATTTTCTCTCTGAGAGATCACAGCCTCTCATTAACCACACCACGACTCGCTCGACAAACCTTTTCTGAAAACCAGGCAGCCAATATCCCACTAGAAGTGCAACGAATAAGTACGAAGCATGCAATCTTGCGTCGAACGCAGGCCTCTTGATAGTTACATGACAACACCTAGCCACCAAGCATTTACTCTCATAAGCAATTTTCTCGATAGAACATATCATACCACCATCCGCCGGAACACGTCTCTCAACCACTTGCACAACCCCATTCGCTGGACCATTCGCTGGATCTACAAAATAGTCCCATACCGCAGGAGACTTCTACAATATCAGTAAGCAAAATGCCGAGCGGGACGCCAGCCCATCATCGCCATGCTACTCCGAAGCCCACCGTGGCAGAGCGGCCGCATGTGCATAAGGAGGCGCCCCCGCAGGTGATGCCTATCACCAATGTTATGCCAGAAGACAGTCCCTTCGTCACATGGGGCCAATTCTAGTCCGCTATGAGTGTGATAGGAACTGTTATAGGGGGGACCGTGGAATCGGGCGCAACGATTCCCATACTACCAGAAGACGGCAGCATTGTGCAGGCCTTTCTGCTGCGCATCGAGCGCCGGTACACCCAGATGGGATTGGAGCCGCGCGAGTCGGGAAATGCACTTATTGACCACCTTGTGGGCCTGGCTCTAACGTACTGGATGTATCTACGGAGAACTATCGACCTAAGCGACTGGACGACAGTACAGCGCAGGCTTTTGGAGCGGTGGACGACAGTACAGCGCAGGCTTTTGGAGCGGTTTGACAAAACAATGTCGCAGAGTCAATTGTTAACGGAGTTGGCTAAAGTACGGTGGAATACTAAACCGAAGGAATACACGGACCGGTTTGCGGCTGTAGCGGAGCGTGGTTTGGGTGTTGCCCCCGACGAACTCGCTGACTACTACTGCACCGGGCTACCGACAGACCTCCATCTCCTAATTACCAATGACGGGCAGGTGAAATATCAGTCGTGGGAACAAGCGGCGACAGACGCAGCACGGCTCTACGAGCCCAAGCAGAGTGTGCTGGAACTCCGAGAAAGGACCAGTCGAGCCACTAGGGCTGCTATCCAAGCTAATGGACCCCGTCGGCGCCAGGAAATTGAAAATCGACCTGGGGGAACTCATGCGAACTGCTTTGAGTGTCAGGGTCGCGGACATCCGGCACGTGTCTGCCCCAGCAAAGGGGAACGTACCAAACGTCTGGTGGAAATATGCAAGAAGTGTGGCGGTGTGGGACACTATGCTCGGGACTGTCCTAATTATGAATGTGGCCAGCCCGAGCCGGCGGACAAGAGCAGTAGGGAGCCCACCCGTCCTAGCGCTGAGAAGACGGAACGATTAAACAGGGGGGCCTAGGCGGCCAAAGAAATCAACAACCCTGAGTTGGGTACTTCTGGGGAAAATCGGAGTGAGAACTCGAAAGAGGACTACTTGTACTGCTAATTTGGTATTTGTTCTATGAGATATGCGTCGAATGCAGAGGGTTTGTCTAGGGGCGCCCTATTTGTCGGCCTGGTAGAAACGTAGTAGCAGCAGAGAACGCTGCGCACTACATTTGGGGGCTGTTCCGCGATTGAAACATTTTTTTCCGGACCTGAGGGTAGAAACACTTTGCCTTAATAGTTCACACCTAGATATCTCAGCTCAGTAAGGGATGCATCTACGCAACGGACGTGTTATCGGCCTCATGCAACAGGAGACTTCCTGTAGTGCGCAGTCACTACAATAGCGCTTCCTGGTGACCTATAAAGGATAGCTAGCTGATGACCTACAAGCGGTTGATAGCTTGAGACGCGGATTGAGCGCTGTAACCTCTTACTAATGAAATAGAAAAGCAATTTATTGGCAAATTAACATGTATAAACTAGAAATGCCTGTGAATGCCCCAAGATTAGGGCTGCCGAGAACGCCGGCACCGGTACGCATCACATCCTCACCGGACCAGCAAAGCGAGAACCATGAGAAATAACCTTCATGAAATATGGTTTTGTGAATTTGTAATAAAAATTGTCTTTTTAATAATTTAGCAGACGTTACGAGACCGATGCGTCTGTAGAAGAGAAGCTTTCATAGAGCGCCAGCGTTTTGGGTCGTGCAGAATCGTAGGCGCTGCAGAGAACGCAATGTACTACATTTCTACAGTGTCCGTAAGCACAATGACCAGAGGAACATCGACCCATTATCGTCATGCTACTTCGAACTCCACCATGGCACAGCGGCCGCATGGGAATAGGGAGACGCCCCCAAAGGTGGCACTTATAACTAGTGTTCCCCGCATGCCAGGGGACAGTCCGCACGTCACTTGGGAACAATTCCACTCCGCGATGGCTGTGATACGGGATGTTATACGTGGTCCCTGGGAATCCACCGCAACGTTTCCCATACTTCCTGAAGCCAGCAGCACTATACAGGCCCTTTTATTGCGCATCGAACGATGGTACACCCAGATGGTAGTGGAGTTCTGAGACTGGAGAGTTGCCCTTATTGACCACCTTGTGCGCCTGGCTTTAATTTATTGGATGTATCTGCGGCGAACTATCGACCACAGTAGCTGGGCAACGGTCAAGCGCCGGCTTTTGGAACGGTTCGCCAAAACGATGTCGCAGAGCCAATTGTTAACGGAGTTGGCCAAGGTGCGGTACGGTGGAATGGCAACCCTAAGGAATACACGGACCAGTTTGCGGCTGTAGCGGAGCGTGGTTTGGGGGTCGCCCCCGACGAACTCGCTCACTATTAATGCGCCGGGCTACCAACAGACCCCCATCTTCTCATAGCAAATAACGTGCAGGTGAAGCATCCCTCTTGGGAACAAGCGGAGACAGCCGCAGTGCGACTCTACGAGCCTAAGCAGACCGTGCTACAGCTACGAGAAAGCACCAGTCGAGCCATCAGAGCTCCTATCCAGGCAAATGGACCCTGTCGGATCCAGGAAAATGAAAATCGGCCTGGGGAAACCCCATGAACTGCTACGAGTGTCAGGGTCGTGGACACCCTTCCCAGCAAGGGAGAATGTACCAAACGTCCGGGGGAGACCTCCAAGAAGTGTGGCGGTGTGAGACACTATGCCCGGGACTGTCCTACAAACGACCGAGGCCGTGCTGAGCCGGAAAACAAGAGCAGTGGGTAACCTATACTTTCCAGCACTGAGAAGGACGAACGTTTAAACAGCGAGGCCTAGGCGTGGTTGGAGACGAGCGTTCTAAGTTGCGTAGCCATGGCAAAGAGATGATGTGTCCGATAGCGACAGGACCTAATGCTATTCCAGTCTCCCTAGAACGGGGGAACCACCTCCTCAACACGGTAGAGGAAAACAAAATGAGCGATGAGGCCGTGCAGGGGACTCAGCCGCCTTCGGAAGCGTGGTTGGAGTCTGGGCCGAAGCCGGTGCGGAGTGAAGAGGCTCCGTGCGGGAAGACGGTTACAAGCGGGAAATCTGCAGAAGCGACAGAAGAAGACTGCCTGACAGAAGCAATAGAGACTATGCCGCACTAGTGGCAGGAAACTAGGGTGCTGGCGATAGCGGCAGCACCGATGCAAGCCTCCTCCCCACAGGGCCAAGGAGGCAAGAACCCCGAGTGGGGAACTTACACGAAAAATGGGTTTCAAGAACTAGAAATATAACTACACTTTATGATATTTGGACAGTTATTTCAAAGAGATGCGCCGAAGGTAGAAGGTTATGTTAGACCCCTACTTGTGGGGCAGGTAGCAGCGTAGTCGCAGCAATAGGGACTGTGCACTACAGGACTGGTCCTTTCGCGCAGCTCTAGCGCTGTCTGCTTAGGGACATAAGGTCGCACTGCGGCTGTCGCCTCTTGCTCTCACGAGGATTACTTCACTTACCTGTTACTGATTTTGAGAAGATGAAGGTTTGTTAATAGCCCTGTGCAATAATGGTCAGGGAGTTCTTTGGGGGTAAATCCCATGCCACGCTCCGCTACAACCGCAAACTAGTCCATGCACTCCTTAGGTTTGCCTTCCACCGTACCTTATCCAAATCCGTCAACACTGCGACACCCTGCTTTGTCGAACCGTTCCAAAAGCCTGCGCTGTACCGCCGCCCAGTCACTTCGATCGACAGTCCGTCCTAGATACAGCTAACAAACCAAGGCTGGGCCCACAATGCGGCCAATAAGCGTGTTCCCCCAGTTACGGGGCTCTTATCCCATCTGTGTGTACCGTCGTTCGATGCGCAGCAAAAATGCCTGCATAGTGCTGCCGTCTTTAGGAAGAATCGGGAACGGTTTGCCCGATACCCGGGGCCACCCAGAGCATTCTCCATCACAGCTGTCGCGGAGTAGAGTTGATTCCACGTAACGTACGAGTTGTCCCCTTGCAGGCCGCCAACACTGAATAGAGGTGCCACCTGCGTGGGAGTCTTCCTTATGCCCATGAGGCCTCTGTGCTCCTGTGGGTTTCGAAGTAGCGTGACGATGTTGGGCCGGTGGCCCGCTGGACATTCTACTTGAGGATACTGCAGACGTCCCATGTTAAGTTGGACCGATAACGCGTCCGTTGCACAGGTGTATCCGTTACCGGGCTAAGCTGTCTAGGTGTGAATCATTAAGGCAAATATTGCAGGTGTTACTACTCGTAGGTCCGGAAAAGAAAAATATTATTTCCCGGAGCAGTCCCCAAATGTAGTGCACAGAGTTTTCCGGTGCTACTACCTTACTACACGGCCCACGAATAGTGGGCCCGCCTGACAAACGCTGCTACCTGGCCCACGAAGAGGGCTCCCTAGGAAAAACCTTCTACCTTCAATGCATCTTTCATGAAGCAAAGACCCAAATACCAACAAATGTAGTCATCTTCTCAAGTTCTGAAATAGATATTCATTAAACGTCCCCCCACTCAGGGTTCATGCCTCCTTAGCCCTGTGGGGAGGAGGCCTGCAACGGTGCCGGCGCTATCGCCAGCGCCAGGTATTCAGAGACACGTCTTGTTTACTCATGCTAATTTGCTGATAAACGGCCTTACTTCGCTACTAGTGGGAAGTTGCTGTCCTCTTTCAGCGTGTTGACCTCTTATAGGTCACCAGCTAGTTATACTCTTAAGGTCACCAGCAAGCCCTATTGTAGTGCTTGTAGTGCCTGCGCACTACAGCAGTGCGGCATCCACTCCACCACATCGAACTCCTCATACGGTTTACCTATTTTGTCTTTTCCCTTTTCCTGCGTGCTCACAGCCGTCGCACTAGCCAGCTTGTTTTCTGGTAAGGTGCTTTTCTTTCTTTCAGCATGAGTCTTGGGCACTGATAAAGCACTTGCATCTTTGGCATCTTCTTAGTAGTGCACAGCGCCTACTGCTGCGACTACGCCGCTACCCGCCCCATGAGTAGGGGCCTATGCTAACTGTCCAAATATCATAAAGTGTAGTTATATTTCTAGTTATTGAAATTCATTTTTCTTGTAAGTTCCCCACTCGGGGTTCTTGCCTCCTTGGCCCTGTAGGGAGAAGCACTGCACCCGTGCCGCCGCTATCGCCAGCCCAAATTTCGAGGTATTCACAGACAGGTCCAGTGTATGCATGCTAATTTGCTGACAAACTGCCTTACTCCGATCCTATTAAGAAGGTCCTGGCTTCGTTCGGCGTTATGACCCTTTGTAGGTCGCTAGCTAGCTATCTTCTAGGTCGCCAGCAAGCCCCACTGTAGTGCCTGTGCACTACAACTTCTCCCCTTGTCAGACTGAGCAGGCCTACCCAGAACACAATACGTTTGCTTTTTCAAGCTTTATTCTATTCTGAAGCTAATGTCGTGAGCGCTTGCGGTGCGCAGCGCTCCCTCCCCCCTCTTCATTAAAGGTTGTCAGCCTTGCAGGCGGCGGAAGCTGACGGACCCAAACCTCTACGCGTCGGGAGGAGCATTTTGGTTTCGAGCCTGGGGTCGTCTTCGCTGGAGGCGGCCCCAAGCGCGAAGCAAAGCTGGGCAGCCTGTAAGGTGGTGAGCGGGATCCCATGTGGCTTGATCTTCAGGGGTCCCGCGCCACTTCACGAGGTACTGGGCTACATCTCCCGAGCCGCGTTGGTCCATAATGTAGTTGACTTCGTATTCCTCTGTTGGTTCGCCTGGTGCATCGCGGGTAGGAGACCAGGCAGCGTCGGCTTCGGGGGGAACCAGATCGGGAGGGCGGGGCGGCGAGGAACTAACTGCGAAACGTGGAAAACGTTATGGTATTCATAGGTGGGAGGCAGAGCGAGCGGTAAGCGACTGTCCCTATGCGTTCGATGACTTCAAAGGGTCCTCGGTAACGGGGCTCGAAATTAGGGCATCTGTTGTAGTACACTGCGCTCTCAACAGCGTCTACGTTGCTGTAGTGCACAGCACCTAATGCTGCGGCTGAGGTGCTACCTGCCCCCTCGAGCAGGGGCCTATGATCAGCGTCTAACTTCGGCGCATTTCCTTGAAACAGTAGCCCAAATATAAGGAAATACAGTTATTTTTAGTTTTCCAAAATCTGTTATCCCCAGAATCCACCCCCACTCGGGGTTCTCGCCTCCTAGGCCCTGTGGGGAGGAGGCCTGCACCGGTGCCGGCGCTATGGCCAGCCCCAATCTCCAGGTATTTACAGGCGCCTCTAGTCTATGCATGTAAATTCGCCAACAAATCGCCTTACTTTGATAGAAGGTCCGGTCCTCGTTCAGCGTCATGACCTCTTGTAGATTGCCACCTAGCTATCTTCCTACGGTCACCCGCAATCCCTATTTTAGTACCTATGCATTACAGTGAACCTGTTGTTATGCAGGCAGGAGGGTACACGGCTCTGCAGTTACGGTGTGGTAGAAGAGGTGCTACAGAGAGTGCCTCCTTCAATGGTAAACATCAAAATAGGATTTTCTCCTTTGAAATGTGACAAAAAACCATAAATCAGGTCTGGACATCCCTGCAGAGATCCAGTTCTCACAGGTGAAAGCAACAGGAGCAGAGGATGCCGGGGATGCTTCGCGTCTTCCGCCGTTGCCGTGCTAAAGAGTTATTTTCACAGTGAGACCAACTCTTTCTCTTCAGCTTTTCCAGAGAACGCTAATACATCAATTTCCCATCTCTATTAGCACCTTGCGTCCGTGAGCCAGTGCAGACAGTCAAGCGAATTCAAGTCGTTTTTTACATTGGTGCCGACTTGAGACAGCCCCAAATGGGTTATAAAGAAGCTCACAGCGTCGTCTAGTGCTAATATGATGTTTGACTCAAGTTGTTTTGAAGCCTACACTTGTGTCTGTCCGCTGCGCCGGCTGCTGAACGACCTAGTTGCGTGTAGCCGATTAACCACTATGCCATCGGGATATCTGGTTGGTGAATTATGCATCAAACGCGGCCAAAGAACACTTTTTGCCCCGAAAATTGGTATTCTGAATGCAAAGTAAGGGCTCACGATATCTTCTCGAGCCGTCACAGTAGATACATGCTGTAACACTGTTGTCTGCCAAAACTAGGATAAAGCTCTCAAGCAATGCGAATATGAAGGATGGGAAAAATGGAATTGGAAAACAGCGTGCTTCTTGCTATTGCCTACAGGTAACGGCGAAGAAACAGAAACAATAGTAGCCGAGCAGCCCCGTTCACAAATCTAGTTAAAAGCTCGATACAGGTACTAAGGACAAGGAACGCCTCTCAGTATCCTCACCTGCAGGACACTATTCGCTTATTTCCTGTAACAGTGCATGCCATTGCATGCCACCTGTCCGGGGGTGTAAAAAGTATATGCCGTTTAGATCACATCGGCCATCAGGCTGACTACATGAGGTTTCTAGTCTGTAAAGGGTATAACGCGCTTTTTGTGGGCTTCTGAAGTGGAGAAAGAAGCCTTGTATATAACGAACGAGCTGCAAATTCTGAAACCGTCCCATTGAAGAAAATGAGCGGCAACTTCTGCTAAGTTGCCACAATGCCACAAGCGGTGAGTCTGTTAGTACTGTGTTATGTTCGCAGCGGTTTTAGTGAAGGAACCAAGTTCAATTGTGTCACGCAGAACCTAAGAAGTTGTGAAGTCTCTTGACAATAAATGCTGGCACTCAAGCTTTCAACGCGGACCATTGTAGTAGGCAGTAATTCAGACTTACGACAAATGGAACAGCGAGATCGTCGAACTCGATGTGGAAGACGTAGTATAAACAGTCGAGCAACAAGACTTCACAACCGTGCCTCTATAAGCCAAGCAATCAACTTAGATCTTGCGGCAAAAACCTTCGTGCAGCCCTGCTGGGAGGGCACCAAGGCATGCAAGCTGTTGCACTTCTTGCTATTGTACGTATTAATCAAAAATCAGGTGTTATATGGCTTTAGAAAGAACGCAAGTAGCCTGCTGTTCTAGAGGATCACTGCTTGCTTGCGCTTCAAATACGCCAATATGTTGAACAGGCACCTCCCCTAAAACCAAATCAATATATATCACAGGAACACCACAATACAGCTGTCCCTCCAGATTAGCACACACAACCACCTAGGCGGACTGGCCATAGGAAGTTACCCCGTCGCATCCCAGCGGAATTTGTAAAGGTGTCCTACCCAGCGTTCTGCTTGCTGATCACGCTGAACCCTTCCACAACTTAGGAATCTCTGCCCTATTATTCCCAGCTCTAAGACCTCTACTGACAACTACACCCGAAAAGCAATACGAACCATCCCCACACCCATACAACTATCTCCTTCGCTGTGACGTCAGCGGTGGATCAGCCAACAGATTTGATGCTATACGAACTTCCGTCAATATCAAATAGGTACGGCTTTTGGAAAATACACGTTTTCACGTCAGGTGGAAGTAAACGAAACAACGTGTGGGGGGCGACCATAATGTGTGGAGAAGTAGAGCCACTGGAGCCCTAGGGAACATCTAAAGATGCATACGTCAGGAAAATCACATTAACATCCTGAAGCTGTAAAAATATGATAAAATTCTTGCAAAAAAGATGGCGCAAAGCACACTTTTTGGTGAGGATGCACCGGATGAAACGGCCTAACCCACTTGGCGTCAAGCTGCATGTGAGAGCTGAACAGTCGCATGTGTGTTATTCACATGGAACAAAAGGCAACGTGTTGTTCAGAAAGCGAAACTATCTCAGATACATTAGGAGAATGCTGTTACAGCGATCCATGTGCGGGGTGTTGTCAGTTGAGCAACAGCAGCAGCAGCAGCAGCGGGCTGCTGCGTGCAGCGGCGGCAGCAGCAGCAGCAGTGTGCGGATGAAGCGCCGTGCCTGCAGGCGGGTTGCTTGGTCACAGTTCAGCATTTTTGAGCCTGTAGAGTGACCTCTGACGGCGAATTTTGTGTGTCTGAGCCCTTATTCTGGTGTCTCTCCGAGAAAATGATTGAGGACATCAAGACTCTTCGGGAGGAGCATGTGTACCGCGCCAAGCTCGCTGAGCAGGCGGAGCGCTATGACGGTAGGTCTTTTTTTTTCCGACGCTTACACCGCAATTAGGGATATTTGGCACCGCGTATTTGATTATTTCATTCGTCTTCTCCGTTGTGGCGACGCTTGGTTGGAGAGTGCTTCCACAGTCACGCCGTCATGGGATGGCAGGGTGATGGGTCGCAGGTGCGGTCAGCCGTAAGTTTTTCCTCTGGGTGAGGTCTACAGCTGAGGGTTCAGTCACTATTTTTTTTTAAGTTGACAATGCTTCTGGCTAGAGCGAATCGGCGGGTTCTGTCTCACGCGGGTCATTGTGGACAGAGGGGGATGCGCTACTGCGGTGGCGCCGAGGCTGCTTCAGCACATACGAAAAGCTGGAGCGCTCCCTCAGCAACATCCACCAGTCGCTGTTGGGCTACTGCATACAGTGACGGGTTTTCTGGCGGCAGGGCCCCCGCGGTGCTCTCAACGTAACACGCTGGGCTTCTGGGGAGGACTATCTATCTTGAAGGGTTCGTGTGTGCGGCCGGACGCCGCGCTTCAGCTTGTTGGCGCCATAAATCTTCATTGAATTTGGGCGCAGCGCCAGGGGAGGATATCTGCCATCTTACGTTCCGGACTGAAGATGCGGCTGGGTGGCGAGATGTGCGGACGCCGCTTCATTGTTTGAGAAGCTGCGCGTTGCACAGTGCTTTACTTAGTGGTGACCGAAGTGCTTTTTGAGTGTGTTTTGGGCTATTTCTTCGTGGTGGAGGCCAAGATGAGCAGTTCGCTTTTTTTCCAAAGGAGCTGTTGGGGCGTGTACGAACGTGATCGAGCAGTTTAGTGTGCATGCGGCTTAGGTCACTTTGTGTTTGCGATATGTGAACTATGCGCAGAAATGGCAGAGGCTATGAAGAATCTGGTGGAGAACTGCCTTGATCAGAACAACTCCCCTCCTGGTGCTAAAGGGGACGAGCTGACTGTTGAAGAGAGAAATCTTCTTAGCGTTGCATACAAGAATGCCGTGGGTGCTCGCCGTGCGAGCTGGCGCATTATTTCTTCTGTGGAACAGAAGGAGGCCAACAGGAACCATATGGCCAACAAGGCCCTTGCAGCGAGCTACAGGCAGAAGGTTGAGAACGAGCTCAACAAAATCTGCCAGGAAATCCTGACGTTGCTCACCGACAAGTTGCTCCCTCGCACCACCGTGAGCCTTGGCTGTGTTTTGTATGCATCCCGCGTCCCAGGGTTTGAAGTGAAAGCAGTAATACGGGGAGAGCCATGGTGGTTAACACTGTAGTGGATACTTTAGTTACCTGGCAGCTGCCTGGCAATTCTGGGTGGGTTGTATGCAGGATTCCGAGAGCCGAGTATTCTATTTCAAGATGAAAGGCGACTACTATCGCTATATTTCTGAGTTTAGCAATGAGGAAGGCAAGAAGGCCTCGGCAGAACAGGCGGAGGAGTCGTACAAGCGTGCAACGGACACTGCGGAGGCTGAACTCCCGTCAACTCATCCAATCCGTCTGGGCCTTGCGTTGAACTATTCCGTCTTCTATTATGAAATTCTCAACCAGCCACAGAAGGCCTGTGAGATGGCCAAACTTGCGTTCGATGACGCAATAACCGAGTTCGACAGCGTAAGTTCGTGTTGCATGCCGTCTCAGCTTAAGTTTGCACTTTGCGTCGATATTTTTTTTTCCGTAGCTGAACTGGGAACGTAAGGGTTCTGTTTTAAGGCATTTGTGCATTTGCCGTCTGAAGGTTTCGGAAGACTCGTACAAAGATTCTACTCTGATCATGCAGCTGCTGCGTGACAATCTTACATTATGGACCAGCGATTTGCAGACTCAGGAACAACAGCAGCAGCCTGTGGGTGAAGGTGCTGAGGCGCCAAAGGTGGAGGCTACTGAGCAACAGTAGGCTCATTATGCCACTCGCGTCGTCGCACAGCGCCGACAATGGCGTTAATCGACATGTTGGTGTTAAGGTGGAAGGTTTTCGGGGTAGGAGGGTCCAGCATGGTGTACATTTTGTGGAAGGAGGGTGGCTTGCACAGCATGCACGGAATTGACAAATTAGGCCTGGAAATTACTCGCGGATAATGGCGACTTCACGCCACACAGACAACCGGCATTGCATCATTGTTTTGATGCACCGTATCAGTTAACGGCCGGGCAGAGACGCAGCCCTTCACTGTCCGCTCGCGTTGTTAAACGATAACACAGTACCAGTCGCTTTTGCATGGCGTCTAGCACCTTCGCCATGAGCAACAGCAGATATTAATGTTCCAGAGTAAAGCAAGCTTGCTGGTCATA